TGTGTGTGTGTGTGTGTGTGTGTGTGTGTGTGTGTGTGTGTGTGTGTGTGTGTGTGTGTGTCTGTTTTACATATTTGATAAAACGTTAAAATTCAAGGGATTATAATGAATGCTTTGAGAACCGAATATGTCTTCTCAGTATCAAATAAGCCTACCTTGAAATATTTAACACTCATTTCTAGCAACACATTAACTCATATACATGCATTGTCCACTATGGTATTTTTTTCTGTTCTTCTTTTTTCTCTCCCCCATCTTCTTTTTTCTCTGTCCCTTCCTTCTTCTTCATCTTCATCTTCATCTACTATTTCTACATATAAATGGTTTCACAAGCTCTTAGTCACCAAGGAGTTAGTTGTTATTAATGTTGTTGTTGTTATTATAGTAATATCAATATTAATAACAGCAGTAACAATAATAATATTCCAGGTACAGGGTAAACAGGTACATGTACTAATTGACTCTTTGGTAACTAAGTACATATAGAGCTATTTATGTGCAACAAAGGGAAACAGAACTAGAGACAAAACATGTCTCCAGTATCAGTGGTTAAAGTACATTCCATGCTATGCATATTTAACATGTAAGAGACTGTTACAGTAAATTTACTTGAATGATAAATAATTTCACGTTCCTTTCTCATTCTTCCTGTAGATCGCACCTACAAGAAACGACAAGCACAGGATATTGCCCTACAGGAACTGCAAGACGAAGGATTGTTGCCACAATAAATACCAAAATACAGAATCTGGTCTTCAACAAAACTAGACAATCTAACTCCCAAAGATCCTCTGCCTTGAAACTTGTACATCACGAGTACTGTAAATAAAAATGCCAGCCGGTGTCACGTGGGGGCGTTACCTGCGCTTTGCTTGTGCTGCTTACATCACCATGATGGCAGGGTCCCAAACAGTACATTATTATTATCGCCCACTTGATGATCTGGAGATGCTTGTCAAGATGCATAAGGAGCGTTTATTGCAAGAGCATCTCATGGTAGTTAGTGCAAAAGAAGAATTGCAGACATCGCTGCAAGAGCAAAAGACTTGAGGATTATTTTTTTGAAAGAGGATATTAGTGTATTGTATATATTGTTCATAATATGTTTTATAAGGCAATGTAATTACTTCAAAAGAATTGTAATTAAATTATGAATACCAATTTGTTTTTTGCTTTTTTCTCTCAATCTTCTTTTAGTGAGAAAGTTTTCAAGATGTCCATTATATAATTTGTAACACTGATATTCCATTATTTCTACTGGTATTTTTTAAGTACCTTGTTACAGGGTTAGCCAATTCAAATCAGTTATTTATATCAAGATTTATATCAAATGAATTTTAAAAAATGGATTTAATTAAATCAAAATATACTTCTGCCCAAAGGAACATGAAATTTGAAAATAAACACATAATTACACCTGCTTTTTATACTACTGTGTTATTGAACATTAAAACATCCTTTTACAATTCAACAAAAATTTCCAAATTCCTTTAAAAATTAAATCAAAATTTTTTACTTGTAATGAATTGTACTTGTTTCTGAGAAGTAGAATACTAGAATACTTCCTTTTACACTACAGCACTACAAAAAAAATTCCCATGCTATTAAAAAACAGGTTTACTTATAATGAATTGTATTTATACATTGAAGTTAAGAATTTAAAAAAGAAAATTCAAAATTGTTATAGCCTGTATTCAAAACAATAGCACTGAATTTATACCAGAAAAGCAGTCTTTGAAAAGTTATAATCACCTTCTGTTGAAAAGTAGTTCATAAAGTTCATTTAAATTTAAATTTAATTCCTTTTAAAAATATATTTTAATTCTAATTCTTATGACAAAGTTGGTTCTTTACTTGATCCTAATCATCAATAGATCTATTTTGTGTCCATCCATGATTTTAAACAAAAGCAAATTTTGCTGTTTTTTTTCTATCATCAGCCAGTTTCTTAGTTTTAAATGCACTATACCAAAGCTTGATAACTACTGCAGATAGAAGTTGTGCTGCTGAAATTACATCACTATCCAACATATTTGAATGTGACCTCCATCATTCAACAGTTGACATACACTCGGTCACAGAATCACTAAACTTCATTGCATTGAAAGGAGCCAATTTAGCTTGAAATTTTATGAGCGGAGCAAGTAAGGGAAACTTTTCATCAGCATAGTCCATTGCATTATTTACTTCTGCACTAAGCAGTTTTCCTTGAAAGGAAGGATGAATCAGGTTTATAAGAATATAAGCTTGTGTTATGATTTGGCCAAACCTCTTTTTTGCAGCAGTTACTGCATCTCTATCACTGTGTGAAGTTATTAATTATTTCCATATGTTCACTGCTTCAAAAGTTGTACATATATCAATACACTTTGTCCAATGCCACAGCAATTGGTTCTAGCCATGCAAGTAGGTGCTGTGCTGACCACTTCAGAGTTAAATTAGACACCTCTCTAACTCTGACATCAATCTGCTCCATATCAATTTCACAAATATTCATGATAGGTGGCCAGTTCTTTATGTATACCTTCAGACAATTACACATGGTATTCCATCTTGTGTCTTGAGGCATAACAAGACGTTGCCCACCTTCCTTGTGGTATCTTGCAGAACCATTGTGATTGTTTCTAAAGTATTTTACTATATACATCACATGCTCTTTGATACTGCCAATTGCCAGATCATGAGCCAGAAGATTCAGAATGTGTGCAGTACAGTCATAGATCACCAGCTTCAGTTCATTTCCCTGTTTTGTTTACATTACCAGCTTTATCTGTCGCAACACTACCAACATGGCAACCATGTTCTTTTCACTTCTTTGAGAGCCCTTTTAGATATTCATCTGTATGAGGTTGGCTACTTGTGTCTATTTTATCCACTAGATATATATGGTCATTTGAGGTTGTCACATTAACATGTAATAGGCTGTTTGTGAATGTTAGACCATCCATCTAAAGACAGACACAGTTTCATCCTTCAGCTCTGTGGCACACTTTGCTTATTCTGAATTAGTCTAAATGGAAGAATTGGTTGCAGAGACAATCTTAGTGACTTCTTCAGTATTATTTTTTTTTCATAAGAAGTTGTCTTTGTAATAAATGTGTCCAAAGTTGTTGCTTTATGCTTTCAGAAACTTGTAGCCGAAGTGAACATTCTTTCTGTAATGTTGGAGTTGCAATACTTATTTGAGGCACCTTTGGAGTCATTTTCAGTCATACTTGGATCATCCAAATACTCTTCTGAGAATTCAGTTTGTAGCTGCTAAAAAAAGGTTTCATTCTTGCTACTATTTCTTGTAACTCAAGTTTACACTGTTAAAATATTCCCACACTGGATCACTCTTCCTACCAGATACATTAAGCCTTGTGGTCAGTGACATCTCTCCACTCTTGCAGTTAACTCAGGAATGAGTGGCTGTAACACTTAAACTACTAAACAGTGACACAAGTCCAGCCATATCATAACATGATGTATACAGGAACAGGAGTCAGGACAGAGAGATGATGCAATCCTGACCAATGGCTACTGGCTGCTTGACAGGTTGCTTGACAAAATCCAGTAAACAGCTATAAATAAGTACCCTATTCAAGAAAACAAGATAAGAAATACTTTAAAATTATGCTTACATTAAAAGCCATTGTCACAATATGCTTCTGTTACTGCAACTAGTTAATAACATATTTGAGTTACTGCAAAATAATAACACCACCTTGTTTGACCTAGCTAGTATTATATTAGCCTAGCTAATTAAGTAACAGTGCCCCCAGAAGCAAGTGTTCTTAATGTGGAAATATACAATGACAGCCTAATCAAAATCAGTCCAACTTGCAATATGCTTGGAAATTCTAGCCTCCTCTCTCCCTTTTCCCTTCCTTTTCCTTTCCCCCTATGTTTCCCCTTCTCACTCTGTCATCCCCTCCCATTCCTAAATCTTCCTAAAGTGATGAATTAAATTCACTCTCCCCTTCCCACTTTAAGGATTTCATCTCCCTCTCCCAGTGTAAGCCCTATAACTGCCCCAGTCCCCCCATTCTTTGTTACCATGGGGGCTTAGGAGAGGGGGACTGGGGCCCAATGTGGGGATTACCCCAGCCTCAGCCCTCACCTCAACAAATTTTGCATGGTCTTTTCTTATCTTCTTTTCCTGTTCTTTTTCTTTATCCCTTTGTTCTGTCCACTATTCCTAATTGTTAAATTCATTTTTGCTGTTTTTGCCACAATACTTTATCATAATGTTCCCTATGCCCTTAATTCCTTCCCCTTAAACTTCAGCTGCCACTCTCTACCCTTTTCACTACCATACTACTCTTTAGTACTGTTCAACCTGTAACTTTACCTTATTCGATAACTCATTCCAGACCCTTTTTTGTTGCTCTACTTTACCATAGTGCCATATGACCTCTGATGTCATATAGTACATCCCTACCTGGAGGCTTTACCCCCAAACCTCACTCTTATCACTATATTTTGAATACGCCACTAATGACCTTAGATATTGATGTGGCAGAAAATTTTCATTAAATAAAAAAAATTAAGCTCTATATCTGCCCTTCCCTACTTTAAGCCTTACATCTGATCCTTCTCACTTTCTTCCTCTTCCTCCTTAACCCTCACCACTCCCTTTCTTCCCTTTCCCATCATTCTGGTCTCTTTAAGCTCCCTTCACCTCCCTTTCCCCCCTTTCCTCTTTCAGCCCCTTTCACATACTTTTCTCCCTCAACTCCCTTTTTTCTTTGTCCAATGCCACTTTGGGTGTATGGCCACAGTGCATTTAGAGTATTAGTTGTATTTACATATAGATGGCTTAACAAGTGTTTAGTTACCAATGAGTCAATCACTTGTGTGACTTATCTCACCTGTTTATCATTTTTCTTGATTTCTGTAAATATTTCATTTTATATTGCTATTAGTACTGTTAATAACACTGTAGTCATTATAATGTTAATAATAATAACAGTATAGATATCAACTGCATTAGAAGAAAATGTTTTCCCAAAAACTAAAGAAAGGGGAAAATTAGGTGAGAGCATGCAGACTACTAGTTGACTCCTTGGTGGCTGAGCAGTTGTGGATACATTTCACAAGACAAAACTACAGTGAACAGCACAATTTCCTAGCAGCATTGGGTTAGTTCCCTTTCTTCTCCCCCTTCCTTTCCTCTTCCCCTCCTACCTTTCTTCTTTACTTCCCCCTCAGACATTTGTGCAAAAAGGTAATGTACATAAACTGATGGTCTAACTACTTCAATGCAGTGTTCTTGCCTCAAATAAAAATAATAACAATAACTACAATAATAATAATAATAATAATGATAATAATAATAATAATAATAATAATAATAATAATAATAACAAAGCTAGTATCTATATTATAATTCTGATTGTTTTTCATTTTGTCAGATGGTCTTGTAAGTAGTACATGTGCATAAACTAACTCCATGCGTGTGCATGTGTGCGTGTGTATCTTCTATTTAATATTTATGTTGTCAAATTAACATCCCATTACACATTAAACTCTCCAACCACATGGAATATGATCAGGAACAGACAGATGAAACAAGCAGAATTATATTATTGCTTGTAACTGAATTAATATGTAGATCATAATAAAAATATGAATGAATAAGAATCAGTAATCATATATATAGTATCACCTTCAGCATTTTTATCTTGAAAAAAGGTAACTCAAAATCAGATTCTGTAAATATGAGTTTGTTTTTATTATCAATATTATTCATCTCTTACTCCATATATTTTACAAAGATAAAACATAGACTTTAAACTGTTTGATTAAAAATAGTGGACTAATTCAAGACACAAAGTAATATTTAGACAATCCTCTAAAGCAGTGGTGTTCGCAAGTTGATGCAAGAGCCATTTTGGTGGATAACATTCACTATGAGAGCTGCACCTTAAGCAGAAGCTCTTTATTTTTGTATATATAGTGACATAATTACAACAGGATACTTATCATCATAATTAATCAATTCTTCTTACATACAAAATTTATATTGACCCTATTGCACATGTTGATGCAAAGTCTGTATCTTATTTTGGATCCTATGATAAAAATGTTATTTCTGCTGAAACAAAGAAGCTCCCCTCCAAATCTCTGACACACTAAGTTCCCAATTACCTATTTCTTAGCCATGAACAGCTTATTTCCCAACAGCTGCATTGGAGAGATGCATACTTCCTGGATAGAGAGCCACCAATATGGGTGTTGCAAGCATCATGAAATGTGCAGTAAATACCACTGTTCTAGAGGAACTCTCACTATCTCCCCTGTAGATATAAATCCCAGTGCATCTTCATCTGAGATTCTGTAAGCTGAGTCTCAAGGATAGATTTTGGGCATGTAGGATGAGGAAGCCAGCAAGGAACATCAACAGTCTTCACATTCTGGGCACTGACTGATACCCAGATGCCTACACTCACATCCTCGCCCACATAAAGTGGTAGGGAAGGGCCTATGGTAGTAATGGCACTTGCTAGGGATCCTGCGGGAAAAAAAGGTACCAAGTTAAAAACATGGTCAATTTTTTGTGGTAGTTATTACTATCATTTAATATACATTTAAGTGTATATATACTTATATTGTTTATCTTTGGATGATAAAAACTAACCTCATCAATCACTGTTATTATAGAAGTTTCTCTAATATTTGTACCAACTCCAACATGAAGACCAAACAATGTCTTTAAGTATTTATCTAAATAGATTTTTTTAAATCAAATAATAATAATTAATTAGACAAATCACCTGTCATAAGGTACCCTGCACCAGATGGAAAAGTTGGATATGTCAGGCCTGGATACCTCGCATCTGCACACTTTCCATAGATGGGCACACTCCGGTGAAAGTGAAAATGTGACCACCAGGTAAGACCTCTTTCATTCTCACTGGCTAACAGATTCTTCAGATCCTTGACATTAACAAAGGTGTCATCATCTACTTTCATCACAAAAGCAGCATTGTTATATTTGGTGAGCCTGGAAAGAGAGGCATACCTTCATTATTTACTTTGCATCTCCAGAAACAGAAAAAAAAAGTTTAAAAGTCATCATTCTTCTGTGGTTTCTTTGACTAGTGACATCTAGCCTTGGTTTCACAAGTCAGCCTCAGCCACTGTCCATGAATCACCTCCAGAAACTCAAACCACTAAGATGGCTTCAATTTTTTTTAATAGTATTATTACTGCATAAGATTGTTTTAGCCCTTTGTTGCCCTGATGATGAATTCACCATACAAGGACTCGCTAGTTTTCAACGGAAAAGACTGCTCAAGCCTTAGGGTGGATGCCCCTAAGGCTTGGCCAGAACACATGTGGAGCTTGGAATTTCTTTCCTAATTCTCTTGCTCTTTTAAGATAATGATGATGAAATTATAAAGTTATCAGGGACTTCAGTCAGATCTGTGTCTAAAAATCAGAATAATATTTTATGAAGCCAAGGGAAGTATATTTATTTATTTACTGAAAATTTTCTGCCACAACATCTACAGTCATTAATGGCAAAAATGTGTTTAACAATTAGGATAAATGGACAAAACAAGGGAATGAAAAAAAAGGAAAAGGAAAGGAGAAGAAAAGACCATGCAAAATTAATTGAGGCAAGGGCCGAGCCCAAAAAAATGGTGATCCCTACTTGAGTTTAGTGATGATTACTCAAACCATATCTTAATAAGGATGAAAAAATATAAAATATATCAAATAAAGATTTCCAGCAAAAAAAGTTTTGATACCATTAATTTCTCCGATAGTATCATTTTAAAAATTAAACTTAAAATAAAAACAAAAGATATTTCATAAGTATGCTAAAATGAGTTTAACGATTAGGATAAATGGACAAAACAAGGGAATGAAAAAAAAGGAAAAGGAAAGGAGAAGAAAAGACCATGCAAAATTAATTGAGGCAAGGGCCGAGCCCAAAAAAATGGTGATCCCTACTTGAGTTTAGTGATGATTACTCAAACCATATCTTAATAAGGATGAAAACATAAAAAAAATATCAAATAAAGATTTCCAGCAAAAAAAGTTTTGATGCCATTAATTTCTCAGATAATATCATTTTAAAAATTAAACTTAAAATAAAAACAAAAGATTATTTCATAAGTTAATCACACATAAAAAAAAAAATTAGATAAGTAAAAACTTCAACCAAAACAAATTCAGTAATTCTACATAATGAAACAGAAACTCTGACATCAAGTAAGCACTCACTCCAGTCACTTTATATATTAGTGCAAAATCTATAGGTAAAAATTTGTGTAGTTCAAAATTGCAGATACTAACAAAGTAAAGCTATTTCAGATTATGGCCATGTTTTAACCTACATCACAATAGTTTAGTTTTTATCTTTACACCTGTATTATTGCAAAGATGATTTTGGTTTCCTGGTTTGAGGAAGGGTAATTACAAAAAAAACAACAACTATTCTCCAATTATCCAGATGCAACAGGGAAAGTGTATTGTTCACTGTAGTACGGTTTTTGAAATGTCTGCAAATTGATGGCTCCATAAGTGCTTAACCACCATGGAGATTATCATATTAAAGCTTGTGACCTCAACTGATTTCAGTTTTCCTTGAGTTTTCAGGAATAATGTTTTTTTACTAATTCTATTGGCATCAATAATGTTATAATTATAGACAGTAATTATTATAATGTTACTGGTATTACTCATAGCAATATAAAGTGAAAATATATCCAGAAATCAGGAAAAGGTTAAACAGGTGAGATAGGTTCGACTAATATTTGGCTCCTTGTGACTAAGTACATGTAAAGCCATCTATGTGTAAAGACAATTAATAAACACAAAGTGGGCATGACATATATGTACATGCTATCCCCAGTGGCACTGGGTTAAATTATTCTACTGCCTAACCCAGAGCAGGGAAATCACAGGCATGAAATAAAATCATTAATTACTTTTACTGCTGTTTTTATATGAGACCACTATTCATTTGAAATTTTAACCCATTCGCGCCGGGTAAAAATGAACAAAAAATGGGGGAAAATGCTGTGCTCATTTTTTATATTTTTTATGAAATTTCTCTACACTAGATGGCTCTGCCTTACCTGATTTCATTTGGCGGGAAAGTGTATTTTTACTAGTACAATGAATATCGATGGTTATTTTTATTATGAACATTATAATTACTATAATGTTAGTAACAGCAAAATAAGGTAACGTATAATATTTTCGTAAATTAAAGAAAAGGGTAAACAGGCGAGACAGGCAGTACAAGTACAAGTGCAGCCATCTATGTGTAAAAACAATTAAACAAGTAGACTCACAGTGGGCCCGTCACATATACGTGACCAAATGATATAATACTCATGGATCTGGCACAAAAGAAATCTCAAGAATACTTACCACATCAAAAAGCTCATAGTTTTTTGAGGCAAATTTGAATAAGTATCTTGAAATGGCAATAACAAAAGATCTTGGTTCTTATTCTGTTCCTCTATAATTTTTATTTTATTTTCTTCTATATATTCCTGCCACTCTTTAGTTCTAAAAGAACGGCTGTCTACGTGGCTTCTCAACTTATCAAGCTCTGAAAAACAAAATCCAGTGTTATATAAATTAAAATTAAAAGCTACACTATTTTTTATATAAGATATTCACTTACCAAGAACTGCATTACACTTTGGTATAATAGTTTTATCACTATCACAAAATCTCAAAACTCTGAAACATACCTGTGACTGTAAATTTCAAGGAGACAGTAGAACAAGCAGATGAACTCCATTCACTTACTGCATCTCTTCTCATTCTAACGTATTTGAAATCAACTGCTGAACTCTTCGTCCACTCACATGTCTAAGAAAATTGATAAACAAAATTTTTTATGGAGCTTATGGAGCTAATTACTTGCAATATAACACACTAAAGAGTAGATTTAATACAACTTACCTCATTTTTATCTCTGTGACCATCAAAAATATAATCATCGCAGAGTCCTTCATCTTCCGACTTCCTCTGAATCAGCACCTCCCCT